GTGCTGTGAGCACCACTAAGCTCTCTCTCGACTCTCGCTCTCGAATGGCCAGTCGAGTTTCTGCGTTGGCGCACAGGAGGGTACCGCAGGGAGTCTCTTCACCTTGCCGACTTTACATGATGAGACTCGTAACAGAAATACACTGGTGTAAGTTATGTACGATTGAGCATTGTCCTAGACCATGTAGTGACCGTACATGTCCTTTTAGGTTTTTATCACTGCTCTAAGCTCATCACAGTATGAGTTTTGTGAACAGGTTGAATAGGTCTACTTTTGCGCATTTCGTACGTAAATGCGTTTTTTAAATAAATGTTGACTAAGTTATTGACATCGGTTCATGCACTAACGTGATATTTAGGTGGGCCATTGCTGATGAAGGATCTATCGCCTCATGTGATAAAACCTGGATACGACTCGATCGATCTCAATGAGATCGTGATGAATTGAATTCGTCTTAGTGGTCATGATCTACGTCGCTTCGGTAGTGAGACATCGCAGAATGATGTACGTATTAGTATATGTAGGGGCGGTTAGATGTTATATAGCCTTAATTAGCAATATAGGTCTATATATAGCGTTCGCTCTGCTGCAGCGTGCGACAGAGTGAAGGGTTTCATATAATCTAATCATATAAATAGTGTAATAGTGTGAATGGTCGCTTCGGTCATAAGCGAAAATCATTCGGCTATCGCGCACTTGCTTTTGACGGACATATAAGGAAAATATCCTGAGCACTGGATAGATGCTTTCTGTGAAGCATCCTGTAAGAAATGCATTTCGGCAGAAGTTGGCGCTGTTTTATGACACAGCGTAACTATTCAGTGACAATCGTAAAAAGCGCGGCGTGGCAAATTTCTCTCGATACTTCTCAAGCAGGCAAACCTTAATGGCCTTTGCTTTTGTACTATCGTGGGGATTGTAATAACTCTGTTACAATTATTATATTCGTCCGGTGCTAATGTTAAACTGATACCCGTTGATCGCCAGTATGGTACCATAGATTATGATGACTTAGTATATATCATAGATATATAGATAAGCCGAGATAGGACAGAATGATGATGTGGACGCATAAGAGGAATAAGAACAATTTAAGTCATAACATAGCAAAATAATATCATTTATCAATAGATCTCTCACGTAGTATATATATATTTATTTATTTATTGTATTACACATCAGCATAGGAGCTAATAATGAGCAAATCTTATTAGCTCCTGATCAGGCTATAATTGATCAGGACTTTTATCTTTTTATAATTATACGAATTGTGTGTGAGCGGATGTGTGTGTAAGGTTATTCTACGATATTGTAGCCGAAACGTATGTGACTGAGCATATTCAGTGTGCACATAGATTAATTGCCAGGCCGCAAGGAAGAAGAACGAAACGGTCTAATACTGTTCATCTTTGCAGACATCACTCTGGTCGAAGAGCATCCCGGAAAACATGAGTTCGACTCACGGCACAGGTCGCCACGGCCCTGAATGTCCAGTCTTCGAGGCTGGAGGACCTTATTGACCTTGGCAGGAGGAGAGCATAAGATTAGCCTCTTCCTACTGGACGCTAGATGGGTCTGATGTTCCACAGGTGAAGGATCCCCTCATCGTGGCGGTAGCAGACGAACAGTTCGTGTTTCTGATTATAGAATACATCAGGAGTGTATCAAAATTTTTGATACACTCCTGATAACATGGAACATGGAACATAGACGATGGGCATACTATCAAGAGCGGGATAATACCTTCATAATAGGTATGTATTAGCTCTTGATACTATAAGGAGTGTGTAATGTAGACTATTTTATTAATTAATATGTCTATTTTATACACTCCTGATACTATGATGTCGCCCAAACGTTGTAATAAAATAGCACTGGCCACGTGATCCGTACGAGCGAGCGGCATTGGACAGGACGTGTACGTTCTTTTATGATAAAGGGTCGTTCTTAAAGAGTTACTTGCACTTGTATACTGTGTCACCTCATGGGACGGAAATGGCAAAAGGTCATTTATAGAAGCTCTCGTCTGTATTGAGGGTGGAGCCGCTAATAGAGTTTGATGTAGTTGACAGGCTCTTTGTAAACGGTTTTAATATTTATGATATTGTAAGCTGATAATGCTGTGAAAGTTGACGTTTTTGCAATCAGCGATTTCTAATGTTTATAGATAGATGATGTGAGAACAGTTGGCTATAACACGCCTTCACTAGACTTGTAGACTGGTGAATTGATAACGTTTTTTTTAGAGGAAGTATGGTGTTAGTTATTTGAATTTAAATTCTTGAAAGCAAATTAAATGTAGATGCAATTTAAACGATTTCTCGTCGTCTATTTGGGGAAATTGGATTTGTACTTAATTATGAATACGAATTGTTGGCATTCGGGCAATTTTTTATTTCTAATAACTCTAAAATACTTTAAGAGATATACATTGCTTTGCGTACATATATACATTATAACTTACGATGTATATGATGTTATCCTAGCTACCTAATGCATCGAGATTCATGTCCTATCTGCCGCGATCCCTTCGCTGATGGCTACTTCTAGTATAAAATCCTTGTAGTTAAACCCCTTGAGGCTTGCATGGATCTTACAAATTATATATTACAGCGAAGTGAGCTGGCGGGGTACGGTTGTTGCCAGAGAAGGCCTCTTCAAGGCAATAGCCTATACGATATGTTTGTGCTTTTAGATGTTATTCTTCTTCTCTACTGACTTTATCGCTCGCAATGTTCGGAAGTTGCACCCGAAGAGCACATGTTCAGTTTGCAGCTAGGATAGAAAAATTCGCTAAATGTTGTCTAATGTACGAATGAAAGCCTGTCATTCCAACTGCACGCCGTGAGATCCGATACTAACCTTATTGAAAGCATCATCGGGATGTAATGTTGCGATGGCGCGTGTGGGGGCGATCGGTGTCTTGTAAGTTAATTTGTTGAGGTGCCAGGTATCCCTCTGCGACACTCGCTATTGCAAATGGACCTACCAAGTCCACGTCTCCTGCCAAGTTGTGACTCCAACTATCAGGCATGGAATCTCTATGCTAGCCGTGCGTGATCGCGCGAGTGTTCCGTGGTTTGTGTCTGCGTGTGCGTGTATTGTGCTGGCGTGCGTGCGTGCGGCGTGCATGCTGTGTGTGTAGCTGACCCCGCTGCGTGCGTGCCGAGTGCGTGCCGTACGTGCGTCGCGACGTAGTGTCGTCGTGATTATATCAAACCGTTTTCGGTAAAACTGTGACTTACCTATTCCCGTTATTGAATTACGTGGAAAGCGAAGCTTCGTACTTGCGTTGTATACGCGGCAGCAACATTCGTTAAGGCGAGTCGTGGAGAGGACACCGATGTCACGGATACCGTGGGTCAAAAAGAAACTCTACGCGTTCCTTGAGCCGCTATGCACAAGTGACAATAACTCTGGCTACGATTACTAACAATACTGACACCGAACGTTTGTTGCCAACGTTGAAAGGGCGTTTCTTTTAACATTAGAGATGGGAACGGAGGAGGGCAGAGTCTGGACTTTCTGATAACTTTCAGAGTTCGTTCTGGTTGCTCAGTCGGGAAAAAATTAATTCTTTAGTTACGATTTCATTCGTTTTTCTTGGTCCTGACAAGGTGTATGTTTATTCTCGCGTTGGCGCTTTCTTCTTTCTAGGGAGAGATAAATTGAACTCTCAACAGAGAAAGATAGTGCGGCAAGTGATCCTATACTAGTTGTACAATCGGAAAACGGAGAATACGTGCCTATTTCACAACATGATATCGATTCATTTCGTTACTTTGGGCCTGCAGTCTAGAATAATGTTAAAAACAAACCAAAGGCTTGTCAATCTCCACGTGTATCTAGGCTGAGATATTGGGGCTCGTAAACTTCCCCTCCCAGGCTCCGGGAGCCTCGCATACACATGAATTCATGAGCTTGATCTAGGTAGTACTAAGCTGGCCAGCATGTTGTTATTTATAATAATTGCTAAGTTATAGCCAAAGGTGATGGTTTAATTCATCCGAGTGGGCCATTTCGCGAGTGTTGAAGCAGCAAGCTAGTGCGATTTGAGTGAATATCTCCTGGACAAGCAAGAGACTGATGACAGTGTTCTCAACGGTGGGCCGCGGACACTGGTGGGGCCGCGAAGCTCTCCTATGGTGGCCGCGACACTCGGCCAGAAAAAAATTAAAAAAAGAGACTTATCTACGGACGAGTACTCTGAAGCTTCATCTTGCAGAAAGACGCTTCATTCATGCTGATACTTGCCAAGCAAATTGGAATCCCCTTCACTGTCAAACGCGTGCAGCACCTTTCTCGATTACATTCACCAAACTATCTTGTGGTCTGGACTTATCCAGCTTGTAACTGTGGCAAAATCAAAAGCACGAAACGTCTCAAAGCAGCACTCTTAATGCACATTGCGCTGCGTGAGCTGTCCCCACAATACACCAGCGACCTTGATCTTATCTTAGTTCCAGAAAGCAAGCTTCAAGTTGTCTCATTAGAAGTTTGCAAGAATGAGTTTTAATTCAGTTTTAGTAGAAAAATTTAAATTTCCATTGTATTTTTCTTGCCTCATTATATGGCTTAGCTGGGCCGCGAAAAGGTCAACAGTCTAAGTTCGGCAGACGCCCGCGTTTAAAAAGGTTGAGAAGCACTGACCTAATGCATTCCCTGTCTGAAGGAATATATCACGTGGAGACTTTTGGGAGATTTTTTGTGTGCGTGGATTTGATAAATAATATGTCACGATATATATATAAAAAACCGCTGCCCTGTAATGACTTCACACACAAATTTTGGCCACACATTTTTTTGCATTCTCATGTCAACAAGTCTTGCGTCCTCAATACAGAGGCAAATCAAATACTGGTGAATAATCGATTAGCTTCTGGTGATATTTAGTGCTCATGATTACAGAGACACGTGTTCTGTTATTAGGAGCTAGTAATGATATGCGTGGCAGTGCTGCATGGTGATAATTACTGATAGGTAGATAATGTCTTCCGCAGGGCGAGAAGATATTTGAAAAGCTTGTGAGGGCTGGAAAGGAACGTGGCATCAAGATTCGAATAGCACAAGATCAACCGTCAGAATACCAACCAGACATAGATACACAGGAACTGCATGACATGGGTGCGTGCTGATCCGAAAACGGGAACGAACCGAGAAATTCTGAAAGGGACAGGAGGGGTGGATGCAGAGCGAAGAGGGTAGCGTGTACCCCTACCCCCGTATATGTTTAGAGGATGGAGTTGCACTCTAAATGATGTTTTGAAGTGTTTTTCTTCATTTCAACTGAAACAAGTTACTGCCACATAGAAAAATCCGACCGGCAATCATAAATGTCTTGGCCCCTGGGCCGGGGCCGTTACAAATACAAATGTTTACTGTCAGCAAAAGATCTCATTTTATTTTTGAATATAATATAACGGCATACCTGACGTCGACAATTGGACACATTTTGAATCTTTATTTGTTTCAGGTGTAGCCCAGGTCAGATCACTAAACTTTAACAAGTTGATAGGTGCCGGGATATTACACACGAAGATGTGGCTGGTGGATAATAAACACTTCTACATAGGCAGTGGAAATCTAGACTGGCGGTCACTAACGCAGGTAGGTGATCAAACACCCTATACTATTAATTAACCGTATAATCAAAAATATTAATAACTTTCAAATAAGCAATTTAAGATTTTTCTCTAAGCAAAAGTATCATCTGATTGGTCTAAGGGCTGACGTTTGGTTTGGAGAGCATATATTTCTATTTTTTCGCAGAGCTTAGTTGGAATATAGGGCGGGCATAGTTCTAGATCTGCTCGCATAACTTTATGTTATGTAATGAATCCGTACAACACAAAATAATTCACAACCCACTCCACCAAATACCTAGTATTAATTGCATCTAATTACGAGTCTTACGCTCTAAAGTATAGCATGCATCGCGTGACGCGTTGGTTAGGGTTGGTCATTTATATACCCCTAACACGAAACCGCCGTGTGTAATGCCGTTTGTTTAAATTTTTGTGTATTTTTTGGCACCTCCAGTAAAATCATAACAAAATAATTTTTTGTCAATTTTTTTAGACATATGGCTCCCCCTGACCTTCCTGCCTATTCATTCCGTGTCGATATCCTCATGTGGCAGCTCTATTAGTTTAACAGATTGCAATAGCGCGTACTTCTTTCAAAGCTACTACGCGGAGACTGACTCAGCACATCATAATAACTGTAACATATAGAGCGCTGTATTGCGGGCGTTGTTGGCTCATGGCGTATATATTATCAGGAGTAGATATATTATATATTATCAGGAGTCGTCCCTATTATCTACTCCTGATATTATATAAATTCTATGGTTTTGAGTGCATCATTTTCTGATTCGTTCCGCTTGCCCTTTGTCAGTAAAATGTGGCTATGCTTGTTGAGCGTGTGCGTGCGCACATGCATACGTGCGTGCGTGCATTCGTGTGCAATGCAATGACATATTACACGCAGGTGTATTTGCATTCATTGCCAGCGCACGTATAGCGACCGCATTTTCCCCTCGTATGATCCAGACGAGAGCGACATGGCAACGCCACCGGCACACATACACACACGCACACACGCACGCACGCACGCACGCACACACACACACACCCGCACACACATCCGCGCGCGCGCACGCACGCACACACAGACACGTCACCGCCTACCCCCGCGCTGCCACCGCGACCGTGCGTGCTTCAACGCGGCGCGTTTTTTAAACGTGAAATTTTGATGACGCATAAAGAAGCGTCGGCGCTTTGTTCAACAGCGGCACGGCGTACGGGCAGCAGACCGTTCATCCAAGCCTTCGGTGTATTCTATACAATCACGATGAATTTGTCGATTGAAAAAACGGAATCCCACTCTCTTTCTCTCGTTCTCCCCTCTCTCCCCATATATATATATAT